TGTGTTCTGGAAAGACCATACTCCTTTCTATGTCATCAGTCTTTCGTCCCATCCTCCTACATTTTGCTATTAACTTCTAAAATACACTTAGTTTATTGAACTCGAAACACAGAATTATTTCGTTCTGCTAGATCCTCATTGCCAATTGAGAAAAAAACTGATTATAACAAGAAATGGATGAGTTTATTAGAAAGCCTCTAGATAAAATGTTAACGCTCATAACTGATTTAATAAAGGTTCATTCAATTATCCATCGATTTGTTGAGCTAGTATAGTGTATTTTTAAGAATAAGTAGACAACGAATTTATATATACGCAGGATGTATAGGTAGTTAAATGGTTAGATAGGTAGATAGATTTGCAGGTAAGTTAATGGATGTAGTAGTGGAGCTATCTATCTGCGTATCAATCATCAATATTATATGAATGGCTTACACGGACAAAAGTATCATGGAAAAAATAAACCAAAAGGGGCATAGACTTAGAGAAAAAAAATAATTTATTAAAATACAGTAAATTTGTATTGAAGTTAGCTTTAAAACGAGATGTGTATACTATTGTAAGGCCAGTTTGACTTTTAACCTACATTCAGAATAATTGTAGCGATGGGTTTGATTCAATTGGGTTGATTAATTATTAAACGTATCCACATCTAATCATTCGTCTTTAATTATAAATGCAATTATGTTAAGGCTTACACTCTCGGACAAAGGCCTTTTCTCCTCTTTAATTTTATGCTATTATAATTTGCATCAAATTTTTTATCGAATAGAAATGTGACATAAGAGTTGTATTTCAGTATGATCTGTAATCAAACAAAAACATGCTATAATTCAAGATATCATAGACATTGATAAGACAGAGAAGACGAACAGCATATCGGATAATTGTTTTCATTGAATAATTAATCAAACTGTCTTTTGCTTGATAGTGTAACGTTCTTCCATGGGATGGGGAGTGTTAACGGCTACACAGCCGTGTTTTTTCTTTCAACAGTTTATTTTCTTTCTTTTGTTTTTATTTTCGAGAATTTTTCCAGTCATTCAATGATCATATAGAAATATGATAGACAATTACACAATAATAATGACGCATATTTTTCTCGTACTGTTTGACTGTATCAAATAAAAGAAAAAATGGTTTATGTGTAGTGTAAAAATCTTTCAATATTTAAAAGTGGTCAAATTTTGCATTAGTTCGACTGAGAAGTGTGAAAGCATCATGTGATTTTTGGCGCTATTTCCATCAGGGTATAAGTCGTGCTCCTCTGCTGCCTGATATATTGACTCATCTACTGATAGCATTAAGGTTGCCGTCTATATTGATTGCATCATGGAATACATAGATCCAGTCTGTAACTATATTCTCTAATATACTCAATATATTGACTCAGTACGAATAGAAATTTTGTAAATTTGCGAAGTACTTGTATTACATATATAGATAATGTGGCTTGAAAACTAAAATGTAAATAAGCCGACCGTCGATATATCGGATATGATAATGGGTTATCTACTTGTATCCGTCTATATCTAGCTACATCGACTTAGATCCTATTGTAGATTCATTTAGCAGTTTTTTAATTTCTCAGAACGAATACAATAGGTAATAATGGTCGAAAGACTGACAGACATTTTCTAAGTTATAAAATAAATTTCCATAATTTAAAATTGTATGTCTGAGTTCGTTCTCTCTTTCGTCTTCTAAAGTACACTCTACAATAAATATTCCAATAACTGATATCAGTGCATACATACATACTCAATAAATGCCGATACATTTTCTACTAGAAAGGTGGGGCTTCAGTTCAACTCAGTACGGTACTTGTACTATTCATTACTGTATTGAAACTTATTTAGTCTACAACTAGTTTTATATTACCATTGTTGTCACTTAACTCAATAATAATCAGGCTATTCCATCATTAGTATAGCCACGTGTTAGTTTTCACATTCTAAGGATACAGCTGTACCAATCACTCAAATAATGCTAAGCATCACTCTCACACATGCACCACATTGACTTAGAACAACGGACAACAATAAATGTAAAGAAATAAAAAACATAAAATTATTTTTTTTCTAAAAGGCAAAATATAAGAATAGCGGCATTTTTTTCTAACTATCTGTCGTTGCACAGTGTGCATCCAGGGGGACATTAGGTAAAAAAGCGAAAATCGACTTTTCAATGATTCAAATAGCGATTAATATACTTCGAAACATGCTCTATCTGATGGCATAAAATGTTTTCTTATAAAGCTTATGTAGCGTGGAAAATCAGCCTGAAATAGTAGTATCGGTGGAAAAATGAAATGTTCACAGCAGTCAATGGAGTTGTAATCAAAAACGACATATATTCTAAATCTGCCTGGCATCAGCTATAGATTAGTAAAAAAATTTTAAATTGGACTTATGATAGTTGAGAAAATTAAAAGAAGTTTTTCTCAAGTGATTTTCCGAAGGCCTAAGTTTAGTAAAGTGAACGCGCAAAAGTTAGCGAAGGTTCAAATTTAAGCAAACTTTCACAGAATTTTCTCCTATATGTCCTGCATCTGTGGTTGAATGCGCAAAACCGAGCAAATGTTTCTGAAGTATACAGCGGGTTTTCCAAAAAAACCTGAGTTTTTCAGGTATTTTCCATTTTTCTCGGTGTAGAAACGTTTTTATTCAACAAAAATAACATATTCGGAATCAGCGCAAGAAATTGCATCGAATAATATGCGATTTGTAGATTCTTCTGAGGAAAAACTAGTTGGATCAAACGAAACGCTAAAGTCGAAGCATAGAGTCATAGTTTTGGATAAGGATTTTGATATTTGCTATAGAAGCAGTCCAAAAGTCTATAAACACTTTTTTATAGGTTTTCAGATATGCTCTTCCCAATGATGCGCTTTAAAAAGTTCCAGAATACTCATGTAAGGGTTTTCTAGACACTCGGTCTCTGGAGAACCCAGATGAAAGTCTCTTTGAACTTTGAAAAACACATCATTGGAAAGAGCATATCTGAAAACCTATAAAAGAAATGTTTATAGTCTTTCGGACTGCTTCTATAGCAAATGTTCGCCTGATCTATGGAAAAATACACACTGTGCGTTGTGCTGGTGAATTTTCCATTTTTCTGTTTATATACTTAGCAGTTTTGTTCATCTTCAGTGACGTCGTTTAGAACTATAACCTATCGTATTATCTGTACGCATTCTAATCCATTGCGGTACCTGAAGAAGAAAGAAAAAAAAGTACTTAATAGATGTTTTAGAGAATAAAATACACCAGTCGTACAGGCCGATTTTGTTTCATCTTTTTATCCATAACTTTTTTAATTTTCAATGTCTTGTACGCAGCTATAACTAAATATAAAGGATTCAAATCAAGAAACTTAAAAGTGATGATATATTGGTTCATACCTGTAATACTCCCTATGAATAGCTTTTAAAATGGCGGCAGTTCGATAGTGTTCGATTATTGATCTATGAAAATCCAATAAAACCAAATCTAAACAGGCAATTCAGACGGGTTCATTTTTGTTTCTCAGATTAGATAAGAATTCAAGACGACCGATTTATATTCAGGAATTAACAGAAATGTACCAAAAAAACAAGACAACAGCTGTATAAAAAAAAACTTCGTAGGGAAAAACGAGCTCTGCACGTCGTCTATTACCAGCTAGCTAGCGAAAAATCTTTTATTGAATAAACAGCATTCTTTCGAAATATCATCCAGTTACTTAGAATGAAAGACACGTAGACCATTTCGTTGTAGATTTTTTCCTAAAAATTTAAATAAAGTAACAAAATAAAAAGAAAAACAAAGCAGAGTGAGTATTCAACAGCGAAAAAAGGAATTTTTTTCCAATTATTGTGTCAACAAACCGTACAGGTTTTTGGAAGTTTTCCATCGCTTTATGTGTAATATAAAAAAAAGTTAAATGAACAAATCACTACCGGGAACTTAAAGTCATCATCTTTCAGGTCGTTGTGGAGTATCACGAGCACTATCCAACGCTGAAAGCCACTCACGATAAGCTAGAAAAAAAAATATCCAGACGTGCGAAAAGAGTCGTACACTGGAAGAGAAATATTCTTACCACGTCGACTAGAATTATGTGTATCAGTCACTTTCATTAATCTAAATAAAAATATATCAAAAATATTAAAAACAAACAGTGAACACTAGTATTACCTTGATTGAAGACCATGAATGGCAACTCCAAGTGATATAATAACCGCAATTATTGTCAAAGAGGGAAATAAATAAAATCCTTGTCTAGCAGGATTGTAATGACCATATCGTTGTCGAGCTTTGTCTTCATCTTGCCGTTGTTTTTCATGATTTCGCTCCATTTCCATAAAACTCGAATCCCAGTGCAGCGACGATCCCCTATGAAAACAGAAATGTTTCTGATTGTTGTTTCAGTATTGCATACTGTATATGAGCATATCCACCTTACCAGTCAAAATCATGTGTTGTACGTTGTTGCTGCTAATATTGTTTTCGTGCTCGATTGATGTTTATAAAAGGATCTTCATTTGAATACGCCGATGATGAAGACCCAAATTGTCGTTGATGGGCAAGAGCTTGTGAATTGTTTAGCACTAGAAGTATAGAAAACATGGTGATTTAATTTATAAAACATGCAAAAGTAAAGGCATATACTTTGATCATAGGTCGTTCTCGATGATTGTTTACTAAGAATATTATATGCTTCATTAATTTTAACAAATTTTCCATGTAAACGTTTATCATTAGGATTTGAATCTGGATGATACTTAATTTAAAAATGAACGTTGTATGAATAATGGTCAAATTTCCTTGTAATAATTATGAAAACGATTCAAAAAAGAGAAGCGATTCCTACTGATATTTGTATATACTAGTTAAACTTCCTTTTTCCATAAATAATGTAAAAATACTTAGACTACAACGATCATTCCCTATGCAAACGTTGATGAGTCGCTGCTGTCTGTGTTTGTTTTAGCCAAATTCTCTGTAATCTAGCTCGATAACATGGATGAGTGATTTACGAATATTTTAATAAGTACATACTTCTTTTGACAACTTGAAAAAAGCTTGTTTTATTTGTTTTTGTGTTGCCATTTTTTCTATTCCTAACAGATTATAAAAATTTTTTGAATTAAGATTTGCGGTTTTAAAACGACAAACTGTAAGGAGAAAATACCTAAAATTTAACAGCAAAAGCAGACATAACGCAGATTGACCAAATGTTTTCAGTTATCCTTTACTAACCGACATGGTATATATCGGTATTCCCATGCTACAGTACGGTTTAAACAGTATGATTGCTGATGCCATCGTTCCACTACACGATGATATCTAAACATTTGAGCATTGCATCGTATATGTAGTATAATCAGTACTCATTATCGTAAACCTGAAATAATACCAAAGTCCAACGGTAGAATTCATTACTTTAAGAATCTAGTAGTTTTTTAGAATGCACATTCGAAAGTGCAGTATTTTTTAAATAACAGTATCGGAAAAATTCCATCCATTCAGTCTTCCAGTTTTTAGTAAGGACCATTTTAACCGTCTATGTGTATGTGTACGCGCAAAATACGGAAAAATGGCTGTCAGATATTGGTTGGATAAGCCAATCACAAGAGAGAAAAACAGAAAATGACTACTTTTTACACGAGAGAGAAAATATTCAACGAGATGGCTGAACTATAATTTACTGTTATAGAGAGAAAAAAAGCTAAGCAAATCTCATTTCCGAGATAGATGTCGCCCCCTTCGAATCTTTAGAGAGTGTCAAGAAAACCCTTTAGCTTTATATTAAGGTACATTCATTCACGTCCGTCCAATAGATTCAGTCAAGTTAAGGATAAGTTAAATATAACGTTAGAACCTATTCTGGCTCATTTACAATCAAAATCAGAGTAAAAGTCCCGCTAAAATACTGAAAACAGTGAGCGATATTCTTGAGTTTTGTGATCGAGAAAAGAGGGTGAAAACGAAGTGGGCCAAAATTATCTTTGATGTCATTTTGTAGAGCTCAACGAATACTACAAATGAGAGCAAAAGAAAAAAATTTGACTGAATACTTTTTGTGCTGAGAATTCTGAAAGTTGGCTATTTTTAAAAAGGGGTCTTCGAAGATGGGCAAAGAGGAAGATAGATATCGACCCTAGTGAAGGTTCTTTTCTCAAGCACATGACTTTCTGAGTAAGAATCTCATGGCATGGAGAAATTTCTTACTCATGCAAAACGCATTTTTTCCGATGTCAAGCGCTTGACTTTCTTGACTCATGTGCTTGAGTTTCGTATCTCAAGAAACTCATGCGCATGAGATTCTTACCTCAAGCGCTTGACTTTCTTGAGCCAAATTTTTCTATCTTGTCTTTTCGATCTGCTTTGACCAATGAAAATCGAAATTTGATTTCGTTCTTTCAATGTGAATATATAGAAATGACTGGACATGTCTGTGTATAGAGCAGACATGTGGACGTCATATACATGCAAGAGAAAAAAGCACATTGTCTGCACAACCATTTCTTCTTTTTTTAACGTACTGTGAAGATGAAGACTAGTTTTACTCGCATTTTTTGCATGTTTTAACCTACGTTTTATTATTGATTTGTCCTCAAAAAGGATAAAAAGTGAAGTAATTTGAATCTTTAACTTCGAGGTAAGTACCCAGCAATTTGAGACGAAGAAAAAGAGAGTTAAATCGTCCTGCGTTTTTCTGTCACAAAACTGAACTGTCTTTCTCATTAACAGTTATGAAAGGTCTTTCTTCTCAGACAATGTATCGAATACAAGGTCCTTTCCCCGTTGTGTAGGCTCAGTTAAAAATATTGACTGTGCAAGATCTTCAAATAAAAATGCACAAAAGTGAGACATGCACCAAATGGTTGATGTTTATCAGTACAATTGTGAGTTTCCTCGGTGTAAGATCGCTTTGCCGTTGGCGGCTTCCAGGATGT